GAGTGTGATATTATGAATCGTTGCGGATTCGTGCACTTAGAGACCATTGAAATGGCCGAGGCAGCTATCGCGGCTCTTAATGGCGTTGAATTCAAGGGACAGGCCATAGTCGTCGAGCCGGGCAGACACAAAGACCGACGTGGTGGTGGTGGAGGTGCAAGCGGTGCCGGGGGTGGTGGTAGCGGAGCAGGCGGCGGTGCCGGCAATCGCAGACCGATGCCAGGTAAAGAGACTCCTATACATTTAAGTACTCTGATTGATTGATTTATTTCCAGGACGCGGGGGTAATACCTTCAATCGTGGGAGCCACACGAGTGGCAATAGTTTTCGATCTGCCGGAGGTAATCGGTCATCTAGCACAAATGGCAGCCAATTCGGACCAGTGCGAAACGAGGGAAACTTTAGGCAGCAGCGCAGTACGCCTTACAGCAAGGGCTTGCCACAGCATAACCAAAACTTTGATGGCCCAATGCAGCCATTCAAAAACAAATTCAGTCAAGGCATGACTTCCAATGATTACTATGGCAATAGTTCGATGGGAGCTGGAGCTGGTGGAAGCCAGAGGAGTGGCGGATCAAGTCATAATATTGGGCAAGATCGTCGAGGCTTTGCACTGCCCGCTGTCGATCATCATCATCATCAACAGCAGCAGCCACATCATCATCAAGTCCCCTTTGCTGCAAAGCAAGGTCGCTTTGGCAACAGTCCAATGGTGCCCAGTGGAAGTGCAGATACTGGCGGCATGTATCAGCGCAATCGCAACAATTCTGTCATGAACAGGTGAGTGTCATGTTGCCTGAAGACTGCTGTAGGTAAACTAAATTCTGTCATTATTGCAGTGGCAGCCAACAAGGCGGCGGTCGCGGTGGGTTCAATGGGAGTCGGGGCGGCTTTAGCGGTCGTGGTAGTGGCTTTAGTGGCCGCCGTGGTGGTGCCAACAGTACCAGCATGTCTCAAAATTTTAACAAACACGGACCAGCTAACAACAATCACAATAGTCACAATCGTAATGCAGCAAATGCATATCATTCAGATTTTCCGCCCTTAGGTGTGCCAGGAAATCGAAATCGGTAAGCAAAGACTTGTCCCAAATATCGATAAATATGCTACGATAACGTTAATTTCTCACACAGTTTCAACGGCCCAAATATGAGCGGCAACAGAAGATTCTGAAGTTAAGTCATCCTCCTGTATGTAATTTTTAAACATGGACCTTATATAATCTAAGTGCTAACATAATAGCCGAATTTTGTTTTCCAATAACTGCGCCCGTGCAACATCTTAAGTTAAGACATAATGTGTGAAAAGAGTTTTTATTTTTAATTTAATAACAAGAACGCGTTACCCATAAGACCAAACCAACCAATCAGTATACTTGTTAATTGTAATCATTAAGTGTGCAAAACAATATTTTATTATTTTAGCAATGTGCAAATAGTGTGACATGTTCTTCCCAAATGGCCGACGACTTACGATATTATCAATACAACAAATATCAAACTATTAAAAACAGTTTTCAATAAACATATAAACACAACTTGATTATCATTCAAAACTTAAAATTTGATGAAACAGTTTGCTGTCATTTGAAATTATATGCTACCGGAAAAATACTAGATTATACGCTTTGTATTATTTTGGTCACACTGTCGCATATCATCGATAGCACTGTTTAAATTAATCGTTCGTATCATCGGGAATCGAGCAACAATGGCATTTGCTTAAAAACATTCGCATTCGCATTTGCATTTAGTTGAATGTCTGATAAGCAACACTTTTGTATTTGAAGTAAGTTGTTCGACTGATAAAAGTATGGTTTACCTAACTATTTATAGCTTTCTTACACAGCGCTTCTGCACAGCCAAAGGCACCTACGCACACCCATACGTACACAAGCAAACAGTGTTGATGATGTTAACGAACGATTCGTGTTATTGTCTGAGGGCTTTTGTCTTTTTGTTACTTTCCATATGTTGTTTGGAGGTCGGCAGTGCTGATGTGCAAACCAGCTTACCTGGCGAGCTAAAGTTTGCACATGTGGTAAGTCGACAAAAATGACTTGTGCCATATGTTTTAATTGAAATGTGACCCAATGCAGATTTACAGACATGGCGACCGAATGCCTGTTGATCCGTATCCTACAGATCCTTGGAATGATAGGAAATACTGGCCTACGGGCTGGGGGCAGTTGACTAATGTGAGTAGTTAATCGCGCTGTGATTCACATACTGAAAGCTGTTTTGTTTTTCCTGATAGCGTGGCAAGTTGCAGCATTATCAGCTAGGCAAATGGCTGAGGAGTAGGTACAGCTCATTGTTGGACACGAAGTTCGACAATGAACAGATTTTTGTGCAGTCCACTGATGTGGATCGAACACTAATGAGTGCGGAGTCCAATTTGGCTGGCCTTTACGAGCCCGTTGGCGATGATGTGTGGAATGCGCAAATCAAATGGCAGCCGATTCCGGTGCATACAATACCCGAGAAAGAGGATGCGGTATGGCTGAGACCCTATTACTATAATTACCAATGTCTTCAATATATTCAATTATGCCCATACAGATGTTAGCTGCCAAGGCGCCCTGTCCCGCTTTTGACTACTATTTGGAAACGTTTAAAAACTCCGATCAGTTCCAGTCTCTGTTGGCGCGCTACAAGAAACTCTTTTACTACTTGTCAAGTAATAGCGGCCGAGTTGTCAAATCATTTATAGATGCCCAATATCTTAACAACACGTTATTCATCGAGACACTGTACAACAAAACCTTGCCAGTGTGGGCGCAAAAGGTTTATGGCAGCCCCGAACTGACTTATGCCTCCAATTTTGCCTTCTCGATCAATACGCATACGCGACAGCTGGCGCGCCTGAAGGCCGGACCTCTGCTTAAGGATGTACTTAGTCGTTTGGAGACCAAGCATAAGAGGCAGTTGAAACCGGATCGGAATGTGTTTATTTATAGTGCACACGACACGACAGTTGCCAACTTGTTGAATACCCTCAAACTATTTCAGGTAAGAGCATATATAACGATATTAATATATGATATACAGTTTCCTGCAGGGTTAACCAATTTCTCTCATTATAATTTTCTCTGTCACACTTGTTTTTACTAATGCTCTCCGTTTCATAACAGCTGCACAGTCCGCCTTACACAGCGTGCATACTATTTGAATTGCGCGTGGATGATAAAGATGCTCCCTTCGTATCGGTATTCTATAAGAACACAACGGCGGAGCCGCTGCCTATGGATATACCCGGATGTGGTGTATCCTGTCCGTTGTCGAAAATGTTTCAGTTATACGATGATGTTTTGCCCGAGAATTGGGCGGATGAATGCAAGCGGTCGACACTGACAATGACGTACGAGGAGGCTAATCTGGGCGCAGCAACAGGCAAGTTATCCGAAGAGAGATACTCTGCATTCCCTAACCCATATAACCAACTTCATTTACTTAAGTAATACTAATAGTAATCCATAACAATAAATGACCCTAATCTGTTATGCTATCACTTGTTATATATGTTACTCCTACTTCATTAATTTTCCCTTTTCTTATTTTAATGGAACTGGAATCATATTTTTTATTGAGTTTTCAGGTATTTGGTTTTGTCGCTATGCTCATGTTACATTTCTATAATTCTCTTTTTCCTATTTTGTTATTTGGTATACAGTCTTCTGTTTAAGTTTTAATTCTCATTTTTCATTTAATTTTCCTGTATTTTCACTCGCTCGGCAAATTTCTGACATTTCTGTTATGTACCATATTTCATTTTCATTATTTATTTTAGTTCCCAGTATTTGCTTATTTTCCCAGTATTGTTACAACAGCTTTTGTACTATCTCAGTAACAGGTACTGTATTTCCCGCTATTTTTCGAAAAATGCTGAAGTATTTACAATCTATTTTAGTTTCCGGTGATTGGTTTAAATGAAAGATTTAAGATATAATAATAACTATATTTATACATTTATACAGGCATTCTCATAGGAATTATTGCCATCCTGCTCCTCGTTAGCTACGGACTGATGATATACTATCGCCGCAGAGACTACAAGGTGCACAATTCCTACGCCCAAATGGCGTAGATGAGACCTACGAAAAAGTCATTGATAAAGTACAGTAAGGCTCTGAGATAAGCATGAAAACAAGTTGAGCACTTTTGATTTAAACTCACTAATGAATATACAAAGCTCTCGTATATTTTAACCGTAGGTAAACGATATTTACGGAAATTGTAAATGCAATTTGTTGAATCATTTAGTATATAAGCTCATATGATCTTGTTTCTTTTGTTAAACGATGAAAAAAAAAGACTGTGAATAGTTACCCTGAAGTTTCTTACACATTTACATGTGAACTTATTATATATGCATATATATATATATCAAATATTATATATATATATGTATGTGAACGTATTTGCATTTACGAGTATAGGCATTTTTTGAAATCTTGTTGTACCAAACATATTTTGCGGACTGTAATAAAACGGGCTCAAAAATAAAGCAAAATGTTAAATTAAAAATTAATTAAATTAAATTAAAATTAATTAAAAATCATAGGGCAGAGATGATAAAGCAAACTAGAATAATAAACGTAAAGCAAAACTGAAAATGGGAATGTGCGCTTGGCAAATCCTGTTACTAAATTGACATGTCGTTGCTTGTGTCCGTGCCTCGTCTCTAACTTGTGCTTTGATAGTCTACACCCAAATAATCATGCAAAAATACGATTTAATACGAGCATATTGCTTTATGCATACACATATACACACACATGCGCGCCTAAGAGAGCAACTTCAACAGCTGGCATCTCGCTCTTTCGCACTCATCGCATGGCTGGCAGATCCCTTGCTCGCGGAGAGCAAAAGAGAGTAAGGAAATTGAGTAAAAACCAAAATCAGATGGCAGTTCTAAATATCCCAGTAATGTAAGTGTATGTGCTGCATGGACAGTGTAGCAGTATAAAACTTCCCAGATTTGCATATAAATAGTGAATATTATATTTGTAACTTTATAGATAACTATAGTGAGCACACTCAGTTATTTATTAGCTATAATTTGTTTATTTCGCTTATGCAACGATTTTTTGGACTTAATTAACGTAAAGATACGGATATGTTTAGAGAATGAACTATAGTCTATATACAAGATACATAAGCTGACGACGAATAGAATAGACGATTGTGTAGAACCTGTGTTGGCCACGACCTGCAGCTGACTGGGAGCCTGGCTTGGAATGTACCTGGCCACGTCTATCTGTAGGCCTTGTCGTCCGAGTAGATTATGTAGGGCTGATGCTGATGCTGATGATGCGTCAAGCTCTCGGCCCCGTCGGCGCTGGCAGCACCGCCGCCAGCGCCCGCACCGCTGAAGTACGACATGCGCGACATGGTGGAGTAGGCGGCCGCAGCTGCTGCCTGCTGCACTGCCAGCTGCTGCTGCGCCTGCTGCTGCTGCTGGCGCTGGCTGAGATTCTGCGTCGACTGATGGATGGAGGCCGCCTTGTGGGGCAGCGTGGCATAGTTGGCCTGGTAAGGGGGCACGGCATAGAGCGCTGCACCCGCTCCGTTCTTGTAGCTGTAGGCGGCATTGTGGGCGCCCAGCTGCTGCTGCTGCATGGCCGGCAAGCCCATCATGGCGGCGCTCTGCTGGTACTCGGCGTTGCTCATGCGCAGCCTGATGATGCAGATGATGATGATGAGGATGGCAATGAAGGCGACGACGCCGCCGACAATGCCAATGATCAGTGTGTCATCGTTGCTGATGATCGGCGCTTGGGCCTTCATCAGCGGCGCCTTGGTCTTGATCTTCATGATGGTGGGCTGCGTGGGCTCCATGCTCCAGATGATGAGCGGCTCCTCCGTGTGGGCGCTGCTGCTGGTGCGCGTCACCAGCTGGCTGGAGGCGGAGCTCTTGTGCAGCTGCGGCATCGAGGGGCGCGCCGACGTGGAAGTCATGCGCCGCGGATCGCAGGTGAGCTCGTCGTCGCCCACCTCGGTGAGCTTGCGGCCGGCAAGGTAGCTCGGCTGGCGGCACAGCAGCTCCGACATGCTCGAGCTGGGCAGCCAGCGGCGCAGAGCACGTGCGTCGCAGTTGCAGTTGATGGGATTGCTGTCCAGACCCTGCAGCTGCAGGCTGGCCCGACGGTCGTCCAGGGCATTCAGGAACTGCGGCACCAGTGAGGCTATCTTCGAGCCCTCCACGTTGAGGGTCAAGTGCGAGGAGCGCGGCACTGGGAACAGCAGAGCTGGAGGCAGGGCAGTCAGCGAGGTGTTCTGCAGCTTGATGGTCAAGTCGCTGCTCTTCAGCCCGGCCAGAGTGCCAGAAGAGATGGACTTCAGTCGCTCGCCTCGGATGCCAATGGAGCTGAGTCTCGGGTGCTTCAGTGGCTGTATCTGCTCGCTGCCTATGGTCGCATCCTTGACCTCGATGTCGAGCATCTCCAGGCCAGGCAACAGCTCCATGATGCCCTGCACATCCAGGTAGCCCAGCAGGGGCAGCTCGTAAGCCTCCAAGTTGGCCAAGTTGCCCAAAGGCTTGAAGGCGTTCTTCTCGATGCGAGTGCAGAGCGGCAGGTGGTTGAGCTTCAGGGTGCGCAGCATCTCCAGGTGGGCAAAGTTGGACTGGGAGATGAGGTCGAAGCTGTTGTTGGACACGTCTAGCTCCTGCAGCACCTGCAGCTGTGGCCAGGCCAGCGATATGTCGTTGAGGGACTCGAGCCTATTGCTGGACAGATCCAGAGTCTCCAGCAGAGTGACCCTCTGGAACACCTCCGCCTTGATGTTGCGCAACTTGTTGTTCGAGAGATTCAGATACTGCAGGAAGGGCGTCTCCAGCAGCTGCAGTTCCTCAATGCCTGTGCCGGCCAGGTTGAGCTCCCTAACGGTTTTCGGTTCGTGGAGCACATTGTGCACCGCCTGCATGGTGAGCGGATTGTAGGAGAGATCGATGCGCTTGATGTTCACCATGATGCTGTCGTCCCTGGGCAGCTCCCTTATGCGGTTGTGGCTCAGATCCACCGAGGAGACGAAGAAGTGGCGCAGCTGCAAGGCCTTGAGTGGAGCGTACTCAAACCGATTCCTGGCCAGATTTATGTTCTCCAGCATGTGCAGCTTGGTGTGCTCAAAGACATTGTCCGACAGCTCGGCCAGCAGGTTCTGCTCCAGATTCAGCTGCTCCAGCCGCACCAGACCCTCAAAGGTGCGCTCCCCAATGCGATCGAGGCTGTTGTGCGACAGATCGAGGATCTGCAGCTGGGTGGAGTTGTGGAAGGCCATCTCGCTGACCATGTCCAGTTGGTTGTGCGCCAGGAGCAGCACGCGCAGACGTGGCAAGCGCGCAAAGTCCAGCTCCTCGACCGTCTTCAATTGATTGTGCGACAGATCAATGTACTCCAAGTACTGCAGCGAGCCAATCAGCTCGGCCGGGAAGAAGGAGAACTTGTTGTGGGCCGCCTTGATCTCGCGCAGGCGAGGGTGTATGCGGAACGAGGAGGGGAACAGATAGCTGAGCTGATTATGCGAGATGTCCAACTCCTCGATGCCTGTGCCCGTGTTGAAGAACTCGCCCTTGAATGCCGACAATTGATTCCCGTGCAAGTCCAAGCGCTTCAGCTGCATCACATTGACAAAGGCGCCAGCGCGGATCGAGTTGATCTGGTTTTCGGACAAGTCAATCGAGCTGATGTTCCATAGGTTCACAAAGCTGCCGTCCTGCAGCTCCTGCAGCTGGTTGCCAGCCAAGTGAATGTGCTTCAGATCCTGCAGCCCACCCAGCAGATCTCCGCTGAACTGTCGAATGCTGCACCGGCTAAGATCGATGATCTGCAGTCGGGCCAGAGGCCGGAAGAGCGCCGGCATCAACGGCATCAAATGATTTCCACTCAAGTTCAACGATTGCAAGTTCTCCAAGTCCTCAAAGATGTTCAGACTCAGCTCCGTTAGGCTATTGCTGCTCAGGTCCAGGCTGCGCAGCTCGGGCAGCGTCAGCGGATTGTTGCCCAGGCCACTGAGCTTATTCTGGCCCAGCTTCAGCTGCATCAGGGTGCCCTCCAGGCCCGCAAAGGTATCCGCATTGATCATGACCAGCGAATTGCCCGACAGATCCAGTGTGTGCAGACTGCTGAACATTTGGAAGCTGCCAGGCGGCAGCTCTCGGATAACGTTCCGAGATAGCGACAAGGTGGTAATGTCGCTCGCCTGGACAGAGCCGAGAATCTCCGACGACAGCGCTGCCACGCGATTGAAGTCCATTTGCAGTGAGGTCAGCTGGGGCAGACGACCCAAAGCGCTGCCTGGCACCAACAGAATATTATTGTCCCGGATGATCAACGTTTGCAGACTCTCCAGACCCTCCAAGGCGTCGTCTTCAATCTGCAACGAAGGAAATTACATTACTCTCTCTCACTCTCTCTCTTCCTCTTACTACGCATATTTATAGATTATGTATACGCACCGTACGCAGCGAATTGAGACTGAGATCCAGATACTTGAGTGAGGTCTGATCCCGGAATGTGCCAGGCGGAATGCTCGTTATGCTATTGCGACTCAGGTCTAGGCTCTCCAGAGACTTGACTACTTGCATGTGGGTGTAATCCAGTTGCTGAAGCAGGCAGAAAAGGAAAAGTGTTATCAACTGTGCAAAACTCGGTACTCGAAATTGAAAGAGAGTCTATCGATTGCATCATCGTAACTCACCTGCAGCATGTTGGAGGATAGATTCAAGGCCTTGAGCCTCTGGATGGCAGCCAGTGCCACCGTGGGAAATTGAGCAAAGAAGTTCTCCGACAGATCGAGTTTCTGCAGTGTGTGCAGCTGCTCGAAGACGTCGCTGTTCAGATGGCTGAGGCGATTGCCAGCCAGCTTGATTTCCCTGACCTTGCGCAGTCCGTGGAAGGCCTGGCTGTCGATGCTGCGCAAGATGTTGTAGCGCAGATCGATGATCTCCAACTGAGCCTGAGCCGTGAAGGAGTCCCGGTAGAGAGTGGCTGGGGAATGCAAAGCGATTCAGGCTTGAGTCAACTGAAGCTGCTCCATATGGGGAAGGAACTCACCTATGTGATTCTGGCGCAAGGACAGATGCTTGAGAGCGCTGGGTCCGTTGAGCGAGTTGACTGGCACCGCGGTCAAGCTGTTGCGGTCCACGAAGAGCTCCTTTAGGTCCATGCAGCCCTTGAGCACACCCTCCTCGATCAGTTTGATCTTGTTGCCCGAGAGGTCGAGCAGGCGCAGATTCTTCAGGGCGTGCAGCTCAGCCGTCGAGAAAATGGGATTGAGATTGTCCCCCAGCAGGTTGTTGGCCAGGCGCAGCTCGTTCAGCGAGTCCTTCAACCCGTCGAACGCCTTCTCTGGAATGCGGCGTATCAGATTGTTGGACATGTCCAGCTCCTCAATGGGCAGTTTCAGCTGACCAAATGTCTGCAGCAGACAGATAGGGGGAGAGAGAGAGAGAGAGAGGAGAAATACCAAGACCGGTTCAATGGACTCGCTCAGGTGAGTAAACAGCCAGCTCTACGCACCTGTGCGGGCATCGTCTGCTGTCCGCTGTGACGTTGCGTATACGCCACGATGGGCGCCCCATATGGCAGCTGCGGCGCATCGCTGTGGAACACGACTCGATCACAGTCCATGGCCACGGCGCCAAGTTGGCCAGTTGCCGCAAAAGGCACCACATTACACCTGTAATTGTCGTCAATCGCAATCAATCGACGTGATTGAGCACAATCGAATCAGCGCCAGCATCACAAATTGCTGATATTAAAATAATACGCGACAAGCGGATATCCGCTTTGTCTATCTATCCATCTATTTATCTGTCTCTTTAGCTGTCTGTCTGTCTGTTTCAATGTCTGTCCACCTGCTTGTTTCTGTTTTTTTGTTACTCACCTGCATGGCAAGCGCAATGCGGGACTGAGCTCCGGACATGGCCGCCAGGCCTCGCTGCGTTGGGTCAAGCAGCACAGCAAACCGAACAGAAACGTCAACAGCATTTTCCCCCTTTCCATTTTCATTTTCATTTTCGCTGAAATTATAAATTTTTCATTTATTTAGCTAACAAAACGGAAAATGTATTTCAACCTGTTTATAATTATTTGATTTATTTTTTTTTCAATTTTTTTTATTTATTTGTTATTAGTTTATTTTGTATAAATTAGGACAATTTTATAAATATTATTATTGAAAATAATATTATTATAAATTATAAGGATCTTAACCGTTTTAGTGAAACTTTCAAGGCAGTTCAGCTTGTCATACAAGCCCAAAGTGAAGAGAGTATATTAGCTCTCAATACTTCTTTGAGTAAGCATACAAATTCCATTTCGTAACTCTTCTGAAATTCCAATTCTTAGCTCGGCCTGCTCTAGCGTCACAACTGGGTATAAAGCATGCGTCTTCTCTTTTCAGATACTTCCGTTAGATACATATATTCCGCAAGTATAAAATTCTATAAGACTCTAGAATATAATAATCTCTTAGTTCTGCTTTCTTTGTCTTCAGTTGCCAATAAGCAATTCTCTATGCAATTGTTGAATAAGTATATAGATTATATATGTGTATAGTGAGAAGTCGTAGTCTTAGCTCTGCTCGCCTTAGCTTCAATTGCATCCAGGTAAACAAGTACAATTAACAAAGCCAATATACTCTCATTACACATATTTCTAGAGTATGTATATGTATAGTAAGTCCATTTATGGAACACTGTCTGATTTCTGTTTAGCATCACTTGCGTTTATGTAGATTGATCAGACTAATTCGAAAAGCCAGTATAGTCTCATTACAATTATTAAGGAACTATAAAAACTTTTGAATATATGTATATGTTTTTAGTATACATAGTATAGTATTGACTCTTCTACCTACTATATATCTAGATAATCGAATATTTGTTATAGCCTATATTCTCTCTTCCCATTTATGAAACGAGTTTAGTCTAGTTTAGCCTCTAGAAATTATATGTATAATGTGTATAATGAATTCTTAGCTCCATTTCGTTTTGATCTAACTGAATATTGCATTATTGGAGTTTGATAATCCGGAAGTTAAAAGCCAATATACTTTCAATGCATGCACATTTCAGGCGGGTAGAAAAATGCGCTAATTATGTTTGACTTTTGATTCGATACTCATTCACAGTCGTAGTCAGAGTCAGAGTCAGAGTCACAGTCAAAGCAATCGAAACAACAACAGCTGCCACGCTGTATTTGGTCATTTCGTCTTTTATCTTCGGACTTGGGACAGAGCACTTAATTTGAATATCGTTGGAGACTTTTGGTTGTTGCTGCTGTCGTCGAAAACCACATATTTGTGTGCTTTGCCTTAGCAAAGTCAAGTTTCTTGTTCTCTGGCTGCTTGGCACTCTCGCCAGGTTCTCCCCTATAATCAATAAAGCTAACAGCACAGCAAATGCCTCAGCTACCTACACACTGACTGACAAGAATGTGGCAGTACGATGGATATACGGAATAGATCTACTAATCATGTTGACTAATACAAAATACAAATGCGCCATTGACTTAAGATTCACAAGAAAATAATTTTGTTTTAGATATGTAGAAGACTAAAGTATTGATTGTTTATGATCGTTGCTATTTAAATCTTGATTTGATTTGATTTTGGATTTTCGTATTCATTTTGTAATAACTTTTCTAGTTTCTCTTCGGTCGAATATTAGGGCCTAGTCAAAATACATTTCAATTAATTAAGAGATGTTATCTAGAAATGTTTTTATTTTATTATTCCCAGCGAATGCTAGTTCTGCATCTTGAACTGCCTTGACTTTGCCAAAACTAAACCAATTTGAATGCCCGCGTTTGTTTTTAGTACAGCTAATACCTCTATTTTGATTTAGCATTGAAGTCTTAACAGAAGTAACCATTATTTGTATCTGTTTTGCTTGTTTTTTCTTTTTTTCTTTTTCTTTTTCTGTTTGCTAGCCTGCGCTGTTCTGTTCGACTCTGATTACTGTTATTTCCTCTTTTTTAGAACACACAGCCAGCCAGCCAAAGTGCTCATATAGACATGCAGCCACACATACATACATACATACATGTGACTATATCACTTCTATATTTGTATGAATGTATGTATGTATGCAGCATATTCTTGATTATTTCTCTCGAGGCGTTTCTTTTACCGTTGGATTGCGCATCGACACCAAAAAAATCAAACGTTAAGCGTGAACATCTATGCAGGTGTGTGTGCGTGTGTGTGTTTGTGTTTCGCTATTTGCTCTACGGTCCATAGTCATGCAAAACGTTATTTGGTCAGTTGTCCAAATTGTGGGCCACAGATCTTTCGTAAATATGTTGTTTATATATGTACGTTTGTATGTGTGTCTACTTGAGCATATGTTAATTTTTTTTATTGGCGATAAAACGTCGTCGCAGGTTGCATTTCAATAAATTTCCCAACATCTTTAGCGCAATGTGTGCGCATGGGTGTGTATGTGTGTGTGTGAGTTTTTATTTGCCCTTTTACTCATTGAAATGCATAATGGGAATTGATTCGATACCAAAAGCGGCTCCAAGACGCGACTCGAGCTGGCAGAGCGACAGCTTCAAGGTCTCGTTTAGCTATACGGTCCGGTCTCTGCTCCGACTGTGTCCACTTCTTGTTTATATACACACACACACACACACATACATATACAGGTACATGGCGATTAAAAACAGAAACTTTTTGATGGGAAATATGTTAATCACAAAAACTGCGGTTTACCCAAAAAGAAAAAAACCAACAATCATTTTTTGTATGTTGTGTTTTGTAACCTGTTTCTTTTCTGATTTATATTTTTGGCTTACTTTTTTCGGTTTGGGAAATTGCACCTCACCTCACTTTGGTAGTGTGTTGTTGTTGTTGTTGCTTGGGAAATTTGTCGAGTTGATTCTTTTGTTTTTTTTTGTTGTTGTTGTTGCCGTTTGTTTTTTTCGCCGATTGCACCAAGCACCGTAATAAGCGGGCTAGTTTTGTAGTCGTTGTATTAGCGCGGCTTGTTTACATTTGTTTTTGTTTCATTTATACACACACAAAAAGTCGAAAAGAAAGCGCAAAACGACAAAGAATATTTTTCCCAGGGAAAAGCGCACACACCGTGGCTACAAAAATATTATGTATCTCTCTTTCTCTGTGTGCGTGTGTGTGTGTGTCTGTGCAAGTGCGGGAAAAATGCAGACAAACAAGTAAACTTTGCCAACTGTGGGGGAAACGGGAACAACAGAGCGCGAGCTACTACCGCTGCCTCTGCCTCTGCCGCGGCTGCTGCTGCTGCTGCTGCTGGGGTAATAATTAAGCTGCGCACTGGTGCTGCACAACACAAGTACACTACAATAACAACAACTACAAGTAAAGACTGCGTATGCGTAGCGGCTGCGAGCTCGGCTACGGCTTCGGTTTCGACTTCGGCTTAGACGTTCTTGCCTTCGTCTTCGTCGCGTCCCGTTTCGTTTCTTTTCGCTTTTAGCGGCGGCCGCGTCTCTTCGTTTTGTGCACTGAACGTCTGATGCTCTACTTGAGCGTCGCGGAGCAACTGGCGGTGGCTGGCCCAGGCTTGGCTTGGCACGGCTGCTGGCTGCTGGCTGCTGGCTACTCCAAAACAGGTTTCTTACACTCCATTGGTACTAAAAAGCAGTGTACTAAAAGTGCCCATGATGACCAAAGATCTCTGGTTCTCGCGTTCGCTCTCTTTCTCTCTCTCTCTCTTGATCTGTGTGCAGCTTCGTGAATGATTTTTGGGCTGGGTAAAAGTTTTCGCCTCGTCGTTCTTTGGCATGCCGCAGAAAGTTTGTTTCTTTTGTGTTGGTCGCTGCCCTTGCCCATCTCTACCTGCTGCTCTCTGATCGCTGCCGATTGGCAAGTGCGCCAATTTACGCTAATGGGGTTAAGTCTTCAATAAAGCGCAGGTAAGTGACAAAAGAGACGGCGCTCACTTTCCATCCAGCTAAATTGTTTGTCAACTAATTACACTCAGCTAGATAGCAACAGCAATAACAATGGCACGCTGTTAACGGCAGGCGCATTTACAGTAGCAGGAGGCAGATCTTTGTCTGTCTGTTGTCCCCCTCACTCCCTCTCTTGCTGTGTACCTAGCTGTACATGCACATATGCTTAGAGCGGGAGGAAGAGAGGGAGGGATATATGCTGAGGCACGTCTTTTGCCTTGGCAGCAAAATTTAATGTTTATTTTTTGTTTTAGTTGGTTTTGCTGTTTCATGTTAAGGCATGCATGTTAACAGCTCACTAAGATTTCTTTTACTTTCCATTTTCATGAGCAGACACACACACACACACGCACACACTCACATATTTCATATTAATATTATTATAATAACCGCGGAGTATGTCGTGTTTAGCCATATAAATCAAATCGTTCAACTGATGAATTATGTCTAAAGCTGCAACACTTGACTGGCTTTTGCTTTATGCTCAACAGCTCCCACAAACTGCGTCAGCAAATTTGCTAACAGCACTGTTTCCACGCCCTCCCTCCCCCTCAGACACGCCTCGGCCATTTGATATGCTCTTTAATTTGCATATATTTGGCGAGCTGGTCAAGACCCGACTTTTGTCCAAAGGTGTATAACCCTATTAGACGGGCTAACCCCTCGACGACTCGAGGGGAACAAACTGATTCAAGTTAAGCAAACATATGGCCCAAATGCATCCAGCCGAAAGCCAATCAATCAATCCCAAATGTACTTAATATACTTAGCAAAGTTTTCAAGTGAGAAAGCAATATTCGAGCATTGCTATCTAATTTCTCTCTATGACAAATATTCACAATCATAAAACCGTCACGGCTAGCAGATGCTCTGCAAAAAGCGCGATATTGTGAAATGAATGGATAGATAAATGAATGGGTGTGTGGATAAAAAGACTGTCATGTGGATATACCAATACATGCAATGCATGTGGATAAACAGATGAATGGATAATAAATTAATAGATGAGCAGATGAGATCAGTATATAAATAGGTTACTAGATAAACAGATAGACGGGTGTATTTCGGTATATATTTTGATTTCGATAAACATATATGTACGGATAGAATATATACAGGCGGAAAAATTGATGTACAGATAAATAGAGATATAAATACTAGAGAATAAATATGGATAGGTGGATAAGCGATAAATACACATAATGTCGAAATGCTGCCTCATTCTAGAATTTCTACACCTTATAAAACTAGAGAGAAATCGAATGTACTTGTTATTTTCAAGTTTCAGTTTATACTGGGTATATGGCAAACCAGTTTTTTGATCATGAATTTCGGATAAGCTTGGTACTTGCCTTAGATTTACAATAGGTAGACGCTGTTGTTGTTTTAACTGTCGTTTGAAGCCGAAATTCATTTATATATGCATATACTGTATGCAATTTAATGTAGTCTTTTATTACATATATATTGGATAATGAATGTGGGATAAGATATTAAAGTTAAAAGCTTGATTATGATGTAAATATATAATATGCATGAGAATTTTGAGAAGAATTCATACAATTTAAGAATATAGAGTAGAGTAGAATATAAATTAGATTATTTGATCTTTTATACACATGTTATTTGACGAAAAGATGTTATATATATGTGTACATATATATAGAGAGATATAGCATGTATAAATATATCCGTTTATCTAAATATATGTATTGGAATAGGTGAAAGTCTCGGAGTGGTTTACTTGAAAGACTTTTAGCTGGGCTTGCAAATAGCGCGCGATATACTTTTCAGCTTCAATAAAGATTAATGTCTTTGTACACAGTACATAAATTATTATTTAGAGGCTACACACACACACACACCTACACACACACACATAAACACGTGCCAGCACAGACAGAGACATTAAGAGCTCTTGTTGGTCTTGGTATAGCGATAAGTAAAGCCAAACCTAATCAATTATACAAACGGAATGCTATGTCAACATAATAAGGCAATGTCTTTCCCTCTCTCTCCCTCTCTCTCTGTCTTTTTATGCATTTGTCTCGTTGTCATTTTATTGCTATTGTCGTATCCTTGCCAGGATATGGCATACGCAAGCGCCTAGTCTTTGTCGCTTTCCGCTTTCCCGTTTTGATAAATTATATCTTTAAAGTACAATTTGTGGCATTCGTTTTATTCAGGCATTGTCCTTCGACTGGGCCGTTATGCGTATGTCATATCCTTAAAACCCGACAGGACGTTTCATCGAATTGGACGGCAACTGTCCGTAAGCATAAGCAGCCCCAGAGACATTTCGCTCTATTGATTGGACACGCACAGCCGTCGAGTCCTTAACGTGCTTTAAGGCTAAAGCGTTCTCTTTTATTCGTTAAATAAATTGAATTTGGCTAGGCTGGGTATATTGGTTTTGTGGGTAGGCATGCAACAGGTTGCAGCAGTGTATAGGTATTATTATAGGATAGGCAAAGGCGTGTCTGGCTGTCTGTTTCTCCTCTTTCATATAGCCTTACACCCATTCGCATGACATTGTAAAGCTCAGCAAACTTCCCTAAGATCGTCCATCTGGAACCCAAGTTCAGTCAAGCAATTACATAGGTATATGTATGTATGTATGTTCATATACCTATACTAGACGCTGAAACACAAGCTCTGCGCTGGCAATGGGGAATCTCTTCTAGTCGGGCAGACCCGCTTTGTGTTTTTTTCATTTGTACAAGTTGGGATTTATAAGAAATCTGCGCCAAGTGCTGTTCCATAGGCTTTGTCATATAAGTATATCTTTCTTTATATATTTATGACTTACAAAGAAGCCTTCGTACGGATTTCTATGATCTCCTATGTTCATATGTTAATGCAAAGATTAATTCCATTGAGGTTTTTATTTCTAATATGCAAAAGTTGTCTTGGCAATGGGCAAAGTGAGCTTAGAGTCAGGCAAATACAGCGTGAAAGACAGCTTAATAGATATCCTATACATATATGTGTATATACCTATATTGTCTGACCCTGATTCACAGAGTTATTTAGAGCCTTTCTCTATTTTTTTTTTATTTTTTTTTTATTTTATTATACCCTGAACCCATTGAAAACGGGAAATCAGGGTATAATGGTTTTGTTAAAAGTATGTAACAGGCAGAAGGAGGCGTGGCAGACCCCACAAAGTATATATATTCTTGATCAGGGCGACGAGCTGAATCGATTTGGCCCTGTCCGTCTGTCTGTCCGTCCGTCCGTCCGTCCGTATGTATGAACGCGTCGATCTCAGAAGATATAAGAGCTAAAGACTTGAAATTTTTTTTTCCTAGGTCCGTGTATATCACGCGCATATCAAGTTTTTCTTTTTATATCGATAACTACTCACGATATTTTATTATCGATTAAAAACTTTATCGAAAGCTAGTTATTTAATTATATCTCCTACACCTTTAGAGCTAGAGCTTGCAAATTTTAAATGTAGATTTATATGTATTTTATATAATTTCGATTTTTATTGTTATTTACCCCCCACCCTTATATCCACCCCCTCACCCTCACCTTTGTACAAGGCGTATTTCAAGTACTAGAGACTTGTGCTTTGGAATGTACATAAATTTTCACCATATGATTACGCTCTGAAAGTTTCATTAAGATTGTACGTCTAAAAATTAAATTATTCAACAAATAAATTCTTATAATGTTGCCTACACTACAGCGCAGCCCAAGCGCAGTCGCTGCTTACTGCGCATTTAGCAGAGCTCGTTCTAATACGTGCGTGTGTACGTATGTGTGCCGAAAAGAAGTGCAGAGTGAATATCAGATTACAGGGTTTAGGGTATGTCCTAGTCGAACAGTCTCGACTAGAGTCCTCTTACTTGTTTATCTAAGTTGTCTTTCTTTTACAGAGTATCTGCTAGTCGGGCAGCTTATTGAAAAGTATGTGAATCATAAAAATGGTATCAATTTGCATTGTTTTTGATATAAAAACTTTATTTGGTTTTGCTTTTTTTCTTGGCTTAGAAATTCAATTAGATCAAAGTGCAAAATATTTATAGCTTACATTTTATGCTGTTTATATTTATATAGACCTGTAAATCCATTTGTATATACATATATCTGAGCGCTTCTATTTTTGGCTTAAGCAGCATGGCCTTTGGCCTGGAGCTTTATTGGCTTATTGCTTTGGCTGAACTTTGTTAGCCAATAGAGGCATTGGAAAATGTTGCAAATTCTTGTTGTTGCCGTTGCCTTTGTTGTCAGCTCAGCCCACAGGGACCCACAGGTAACAGGCAGGTGGGCGTCACTACTGTTGTTGTTGTAGTTGTTGCTGTTCCTGTTGCTCTTGGCAGTAAAATCCCAGCTTTGAAATGTTAGAGTCAAATGCCTGATGCTCGGTGGGTGTGGATGTGTGTGTGGGTGTGTGCGTGATGGCCTCTGCCTGTGTGTGTGTTTGATATGCTCTCCCTTGTTAACGGGAGTCAATGATATTAACCAATCAAGTGTGTTAATTGCACCATAATTGGTCAGAAAACTGTCAATAACACCAACAACACCAACAACAACAACAACAACAACAACAGCAACAGCATCGATGCTGCAGCAGATCCATAAATG